GGGGGGGGGGGGGGGGGGGGAGCATCGCGAGTAGAAACTTCCATATTTAAGAGAAGAAAAAAAATAGAAAAAAAAAAGTCTAAATTTGAGGCCAAAAGTTTTCCTCCATTGCTCCAATATGGAACTAAGAAGGATTTTCCCAAGTACAACTAACAATTTACAGGCTGTTGCTCTAAATAAGGAGGTACAAAGATGCATGTATAAACATTATTTCAATGGTAAGTGTTGTACATCAACTGGTTTAGGCAGCAAAAAAGCCCGGTCTTCTATCTACTCTTTGCCGCACAGCAGTTATTTTATTCAATTGACTCAGTTTTTTAGAAAGAAAGCAGCAGCATCACATACAGCATGATGCAAACAGCAATCTTGTGTCCTTTGTTTCATTGGAAAGAATTCTGCCCATGACAATGGCTTTGAGAGGAGACTGGATCTTGATAAAAGGCACTATAATTAAGGAGGAGCAAAATGAAGCCCAATCATTCTGCTTGTTATCGCAGGGGCTGAACAGCAACACGTTTCTTTACTGGCAGTGACATTGTCAAGTTCTATTACAATGAAATAGTCAGAGCGGAGACCACATGAGGCATTGAGCAGATCAGATTCCCAACATTATTTGGGATCTATGGGAATTAGGCATTGTTAGCAGCATACATTATGACCTTTAACTCCAATGTCAATGTAGGAGGAGTTTGCCTATGATTTTTCATTTGGTTTTAAACAAAGTTACCCTTTGAACACAGCTGTGAGGCAGCCTAATGAACACACTTGCACTCTGAGGTACCCACAATGTTGCAAAGTGTTAATAACTTGCTTTATTGGTGACACCTCCTGGCCAAAGCAGAGCAGAGCAGTCCAGTTGACTACTACATGCTAGAGAAGTCTGATAGCAGAAGGTAGAAAGTTTCATAATTAGTAGGGTCTGAAGGGACCTGAGCAGATCATCAAGTCCAACCCCCTGCCTTGGCAGGAAAGAGTACTCGGGTCAAACGACCCCAGCAAGGTGTTTGTCTAGGCCTTGTCTTAAAGACTCCCACAGTAGAAGCCAGCACCACTTCGCTTGGAAGTTGAAAAAAATCCAAATTTTGCTGTTAATCCTCAACATGCCTTACCAAAACCTGAAGTAACCCGGGAATGTGTGTTTCAGGTTCACCTCAAACAACTTGGGAATTTTACAATTGAATCAGATAGCTCACAAGGACCTGGGGAGCACAGGGGAAATAGGGCTAGAGAGATTTCTAATCTCAGAGCTCTCTTTTTGTAGGATCTGTTATAGCAAGTTCAAGCACCCCTTACAGAGAAGCCTCAATAACACCAGCGAATCCTCCAAACCATCAGTAAAGATTTTTTGAAATTCCTAGTTCCAGGAAGATGAGACTATGACTCCACCCAGCTCTGAGCTCAGTGGAATAGCTCTGCTAACTTACCCCAGCTGTGGATCTGGCCCCAGGGGCAAAGAGTCAGTCTGCATCCACAGCATTTCGTGAGCTTTTCAGAAACTGAAAGTCAGTGCAAGACCTTGGGCTCCTGCCACTTATTGTTCAACTCTTGAAGTGCAGTCCAGGGGAAAAAAAAAAAAAAAAA